ACACAGAGCCAAAATATCAGTTATTCTTGTTTCGTGCCGTGTGAATACAATTCAGATTCACTTTGGCTGTGCTGCTTAATGCTAGCCTTCGCATCTGCAAGGAATTTATGGTCGGGCTCGTGTTTATGTGAAGGCTCTTTCATGGCCATGTAAATGTAGAATGCTATGACCACATTGACCGAGATGACCGCTAGGACCCCACTCCATATCGTGACAGACTCGCGGGAGATGTGAGAAGATCCTGCCATATGCATAAAATAATTGCAGCAAAATATCACACTAAGAAGCTTGAAACAAAATCAACGTAGAGAATCAAATCATAGGCGAGCCCACAGCATGAAATATCCCTTTCCCTTTCCCCTAAGAAGCTTTCATGCACATATTATAGGTACCCGCCATATCAAAACATTGCTAAAGTAGAGATTTCGATTCTTATGATATAGTTTGATTAGTGAGTGAAAGTAAATACGCAATGAAAGTTCAATTTGTTTTCGAATCACTCGTCTGCAAAGAAATATGCTTCTTACAAGATATTGATTCTCTGTTTTCAAGCACCTTGATTTGCTTAATAACAAGTCTTTAAAACTAGTTTTATCAGTTCTCCCAAAAACAGACGATTTTGGAGCTACTCAAAGAAATAATGGGTGCAAGTGACGAGTCACTTCAAGAAACGTGCACCAAAGATCCTTTTTGTTTTTTTCATGAAAACATTACAGTTCTTGGGCCACAGCTTATTGGTGCAAGGAATCACATAAAAAGCATGCTCAACACGGTTTAATTGCATCGCTTTAAGTCGGCAACAGAAGCTTACCAGGGAAGAACTTATGGTTAAACCCGTACAGAATAGCAACAGGAGCTGCAAGCAAGCATATGGAAGCTATGGAAAACTTGATTAAGACCCCTACCATTGCTTGATCAACCTAGTCCAAAGTGTCTTATATAATTAATCTGGGTAAGCATTATTGACATATTCAATCAACAAACTATACAGGTCAAGTGAGAAAGAAAGACTAGTGTAGCACATTTTTGTGAGGCAAAATCCCAAACACTTGCTGTGCAACACGAAATCTCCAAATAAAAATTGCCAAAGATCCCATTTTCTTCTCATGAATCATACTCATAACTAAAGATGTTAACCAAAATGGGCCTTCCGTGAGCTCGTTTATGCGACACAGAAGCTCCACATAAAATCACCAAAGATCCCATTTTTATTCTCATGGTTCATACTCAAAACAAAAAATCAAAGAAAAGATTAACTTACTTCAGAATTGAACTCGACTGGGAGCAGAAGAAATGGGTTTCGCTATTAGAGAGTGATGAAGGGCAAAAACCAGTTTTTCCCCCAAAATTAAGGTATGTATTTATGGCATTTTCTCCATTTTTTTTTTATTTTTTTTATTTTTTTGTTCAAGGGTTGCGTGTACTTCCATAATATTCGGTAAAGTTATTTCCTTTTTATTTATTCAGAGGTCATGAAACTGCTAAACCCCCGCTTTTTCACCTCCTCTTGCAGAAGCCCTCGTTATTGGTTCTCCTTAAACCCCTTTAAATTTTCGCACCCCTCTGCTCGGGCCCCTCTTCCCGCCGGCAGTTCGCGGCTTAGTAATCGCGTTTGCACCTTCTGCATATCCAGAGGTACTTCGACAGTAGCAGCGATGTGCGCATCTCCGCCGTCCGTTCACGTGAAGGACCGTATTGATCTGACGGACAAGGAGAAGCAGATATTCGACCGTCTTCTCCAAGTCCTGAACCACTTCAGTCTCCAGACGCAGCTTAGGGTCGCCGGCGGCTGGGTTCGCGATAAGGTTTTCCGAAATTGATGTTCCCTTTATTTTTCCTTCTTCTTTTTTAGTACATTCAATGAATTTCCAGTTGTAGATAATTGTCGTGTGTGGCCATATTTTGAACTGCAAATTCGATTGTGCAAGGAAAAGAAATTACAGCTAGATGTTACATGTCGAAATTTCGTAGAAATTTATGATTCTTGGTGGTTTAGTGCTACTTCTTGTGGCATCCATTTTCACAAAACGGTCATTTGTTCTTACTGCAGCTTTTGGGGAAAGAATGTTTCGATATCGATATTGCCCTTGACAATATGCTGGGGAAGGAATTTTGTGATAAAGTGAATGAGTATTTGTCGTTTAAAGGTGAAGAGGCTCGAGGAGTAGGTGTAATACAGTGGTACTTCACTCTAACTTTCTGATTTACTGAAAGCATCATTTTTTCTTTTGTGGGATTTTCACGACAGATTCTATAATTCTTGGTTTAAAAAATTGGTTTTTGTATTATGATGATTCTTGCAGCAATCCTGATCAGTCTAAACATTTGGAGACAGCTAGAATGCGCCTTTTTGACGTGTGGATTGACTTTGTCAACTTAAGATCCGAGGACTACAGTGAGAATAGCCGTATCCCTACAATGGTGTGCATTATGTGTTTTCAAGAAACTTGGCAGATGATTTCATTATGCATTATCTTAAGAAAAAAATATTATGAAAATATATAAGGGTGTTTGCAATGTTTTGTTCTGCAGAGGTTTGGCACTGCTGAAGAGGATGCTTACAGAAGGGATTTAACTATCAATAGGTTCATGTCTTTAATAACTTATATGTGATCTCTCTCTACACACACACAGACACACACACAAACACACACATCCACGTACATATATATATATGGATATTCTGTAACCCTTTTTGGACATGTGCTCGGTGAAGTTAATGTACAATAATATGCAAGGCTATTTAGATGTTGGTCCCTGAGAATGGGAATTGTTTCGATATCATAAACTCGAACACTTTAACTTACCTGATTTTAATTTTCTGTTTAACAGCTTGTTCTACAACATCAATACGAGTTCAGTTGAAGATTTCACTAACAGAGGTAATGCAAGTTTATGAATTGCTATCGAAATCCCGTATGCACCTTTGACCATAGCAATTACCCTTTGTTCCCGTTGATTTTCCTTTTATCAACTTCTAATAGGAATCGAAGACTTACAAGCTGGAAGGATAGTAACTCCATTACCTCCAAAGCAGACATTCCTAGATGATCCACTCCGAGTTCTCCGAGCTATACGTTTTGGTAATCAATGCATTAATTACTATTTGCTTATACATTTTTTATAAAACACTTATTAGGAACTGATGATATATAGTATATAACTAGGTGCAAGGTTTGGATTCTTGTTGGATGAAGAACTGAAGATAGCTGCTGCAGACAATGATGTCAGAGAAGCTATTGCCGATAAAATCAGTAGAGAGCGTATTGGTCATGAGGTTTGCATTGTGTACTTGTCACATTTTTTGTATTTACTTGTCAGGAAAGTCAATATTGCCGATAATTCGAAAATGAATTTAGTAACAGTTGTGGGGTTGAATCTTAAATTTTCAGAATTTCTTGTTTTAATTCGTGCTTTTTTAAGTATATCATATTTTTCAGATTGATCTTATGATTTCTGGAAATCAACCCGTGAGAGCAATAGCCTATGTCTCTGAGTTGCAGCTCTTTTGGGCTGTATTTAGCCTTCCAAGTGTGACTGAACCTTCATCTCCAGAAGGATGTGACAGGTGGGATTTTTCCTTTTCTTTTCAATGAACTAAAATAAATTGTCATTTTATTTTTTAATATTACTTAAAATATTTAAAATACAAAATTTTGGGCCGCATCCACATTCATCTCTAACTTGTAAAGATATATGTTTGTAATTGACAACTGTGTGTGTGTGTGTGTGTTTTATTCATGCTTATTTTTGTTGGCTCTCACCTTTTCTTTATGGGTAAAGAACCAGACTTTGCCTTGCTTACATGGATACATCGTGGAGATTTTTGCAATCAGTAGGATCTTCCTTCAATGTAAGTTTTATCGTTTTTTACATCGAATCAACTTTAACCTTTTTATATTTCCATCTTATTATCAGGTTCGCTTTTCCAATATTAATTTTCTCGGCGAAACTTCTTCTCTAGTGAAATAAAATTTTCCAACAAAAGTATATACACAATCGTACTCTTAACATTTACTGTCCAGATAAACATCAATTGTTCAGAAATGTAGCATTATATGAAATAATTCTAGTTTTAATACTTTTTTGGCAATCAATTCATTTTCGTTTGTTTTAGGATGAAGAAAGGAGGCTCTGCCTTTATGCTGCTCTGTTCCTTCCCTTTAGAAGCATTAATTACAGAGAGAAAAAAGGCAAAAAGGTAAAAATAACATGATTCGCCAATTGCTTGTCGTGTATTTCAATGTTTTTATCATTTATACTGATTTGAAAACTACTATTATCAGATACCAGTAGTAAATTACCTCTTCAAGACTTCTCTCAAGCTGAAGAACAGTGATGCAGAAACTGTATGATCTTTTAGTCTCTTCAAATATTTGTAGTTACAAGCTGCTACAATTGTTGTAACTTGATTTTGTTTTATAAATAATGGTAAATTCAAGCAAAAAAATTTCCTATTGTAATAAATAATTATTCTGCTGCAGGTAATCAGCTTGCATTTTGCAGCAAAAAAATTCATGCGTTTGATTCCTTCGCTCATCTCCGATGAAAATTTGCAAACTCTTCAAGTCGATAAGAAAACATTAACTATTGATGTCCCTGCAGCTTTACAACTCAGAATACTGACCGGTAATGTAAATTGTACTCTTAAAATATAAAATCACTTTGTTTTTTTTTTTTACATTTTCAGCAATATACTTTTAAGTTAAAATCTGTTACATTGTCCTGAAAATGAATAGCAGAATTCCACAGAATATTTTGTGACAATTGACTAACATGCTTTCATATTTTTTCCCTTTTACTCTTTTTTTTCCTTATTTCTTATGCATAGGATTATTGCTTCGAGAAATCAAGGAATTTTGGCGGGCTGCACTGGTTCTTTCTCTGCTCTTATACCCTGAAGATATTGGTTTGAGTGAAAATTTGTCAGTTGAGGACTCGGAACTGAATGGAAGAATAGAATTATATAACAGTATTGAGAAATCAATCGTGGAAATGGGTACGTTATATGCTTAATCGGTCGTTCTGAGTTTTCTTCACTCGTGACTTGAAATTGATGCACTGGTTTATAGCAAGAAAATTAAAAATCAAGAGTGATAGTTAAGCAATCATTCAAATATAATTTTGGGAGATTTTTGTGGCAAATAAATTTTCCTATAATTCCATTTTTTGGCTTTTATTTTAACAGGGCTGGAGAAAGTCTGGGACTTGAAACCACTGGTGAATGGCAAAGACATCATGAGCGTTTTGGAGCTAAAAACTGGAGGGCCCATCGTAAAAGAATGGGTAAAGATCCTATCTGCTGAAGTCCACCATAAGCGAGAGCTTGCTACACTCGATATTAAAACTTAAAATCTTTTTCTGTTTTTCTTTTTCTCTTGCAGCAACAAAAACTGCTCCAGTGGCAACTCGCGCATCCTTCTGTATCTGCTGATGAGTGCATTGATTGGATGAGGCAAAACCACTCGAAACGCGCCAGGATAGAGTAACTTTGTTCACCCAAATTCTCATTTTTATGCTAAAAAGGTAGCTTTTATGAATTTTCGATTTTGTGTACAGAAGTTTTTCTGGAAAAAAATTTATTCCCTATGGATCGATTATATCGACTTTTTAACATTATGCTCACCTAGGTTATGAGCTGTTGATCGAAACTCCGATCCATCGAGCTATTATATGATGTTATCAAATACAAAAATATACGTAACAGATAGAGGTATTTTGTTTCTCCAGTCCAAATTTTCAAAACATAAGGAATCCTAAATAAGGTCATTTATAAATCTGATGCACATATTAAGTCTGAAAATCTCTTGAAATTACATGCATTTTGGAATTTACTTGTCAAATTTTCTTCCAAAATCAAACGTTGCGGGTCAGGTAATTTCTGAAGGAAATATCACAATAATTCTCGGAATATCTTAAAATTACATTCATCCTGAAATTTGCCTACAAAATTTATCTAATGTAATCAAATACAGAAATTACCTATTAATAAAAAAAAAAAATTCAAAAAATAAAGATTTACAAATTAGGTAATTTTTTAAGAGATAAACAATTATTCATCGAGTTTTCTCAATTTACATGCGTTCTAGAATTAAATTATCAATGTTTTCCCCCATTTCTTAAAATGATTTAGATTGTATTCTTAATCGATAATAAAAAATTTGATTAATTAATTTTTATGTAATATAAATTTGGATTGAAAGACTAAATAAATTGGATAATATATGCCAAATGTCTTAACTATGTTAAACTGTCTTTATAATAAAATATTATTTTAGAATTATTATCAAAATAAACTAACTGTAAAATTGTCCTAGATATAATTGTAAATAATTTAATTATAATTTTTTAACATACCAACATAGTCAATCTGGTCACAAACATAAAATATTGATGGAATTATATAAATTATTTATTCAAATATGCCAGATTTCACTAAAAATATTAACTATATTTATCTTTATAACAATAATAAAATTATTTTTTATATTAATTAGAAAAATAAAAATTTATATCACTTAATATATATATATTTCAAGTAGTTATATGATATAAATTATAAAAATTAATATATAACAAATGTAATTCGCACAACTAATAAGTGTCATTCTAAAATATATAATAATATATTATTTGTAAAAAAGTAAATACAACTTAAAATAATTTTTTTAACAAACACTTGTGTAATACACAAAATGTGTAAACTCGATAAGGACATGGACACATGGTACATTTTACTCCATTTGCAAATTTACTAATCACTCCCCGTATATAAATTGAAACAATGTTTAGTCTAAATGGTAGATTCACACGCTTCAAAATGTTGACATGACGAAAATTTATACTTTGTAATATTGTTTATATATTCATTTTTGCTCTGAAATTAGGTTTGATATTAGATATATATAATTATTTTTAAACTAGGCAAATAACAATTTTACTATATTATAATTTTCTCTCATATTTTTCTCCTAATTATGATTTTTTTTTTTTTTCCAAACGATAATATTACCATTACTCTCCTAATTATGATTTACAAATCATTTTTTCTTCTATTCCTCATTTTTTCATCAATTAGTTCGTTAAAACTTTCAAATAAAATTTTTCTTTTAGTATTAATTTTTGTCATATATGTATACGAACTCAACAAAAAGGAGTATTATGGGCTAGAGTAGTAATAGGATGGGTGACCTCCTGGGAAGTCCTCGTGTTGCACCCTTTTTTTTAAAAAAAAAAACAAAAAAAAAAACAAAAAGGAGTATTAATTTTTAATTTTTGTCAAATAAAACTTTCAATGTTAGTATCTAATTAATTCTCATGGATTACTAAAAAAGGAGTATGATTCCCAAAATTCATCAAGAATACAGCACATATGACATAAAAAAGGAAATTAGGAAATAAGGAAAAAAAGAAAAAGGCAAAACTATTAGATTCACATTGTAACAATAACATAAATTAAAATGAAATACATATCAAAGAACTATTATTTCTAGATTACTTAGAGCTGTAGCTCGGCTCATTAAATAAACAAACCAAAATTTGAACTTCAGCCTTAACGAGCCGATCTCGAACTTTAACAAGCCGAATCATAAAAATTATATAAAAAATTTGGTTTTCTAACTTTATCGAGTTGAGCCGAGTTGGACTCGTTAACCAATTGAGCTTTAAATGAACTCAAGTTCGGCTCGTTAAAGCCTCGAGCTCGAACTGAGTTGAGCCGAGTTGAACCAGACTCGTTAAATTTAACAACACATTTGCTATAATAACAGGAAAAAAAAAAAAAGGAAATACATATAGCAAAGAAAGCAAAAACTATAGTTTCATATTATTACAATAACCTAAATAAAAAGGAAATAAATAACAAAAAAAAAAAAAAGGAAAAACTATTATTTTCTTGTTACTACTATAACATAAATAAAATTGAAATAAAAGAGCCAACAGAAAAGCACGAACTACGATTTCTAAATTATTATAATAACATGAATGAAATGGAAATAAAGAGCCAAAGAAAAGCAAAAACTATTATTTATGCATTTTTATAAGTTACTAGTACAACACCCGTGTATTACACGGGTGCTTGTTAATTTTTTTCTTAAAATATAAAATTAATGAAAGTAGTTTGAAAATTTAAATACCTTTTATAAGAATATATATATTATATATTTATTATGACACTTTTTATTTGTGCAACTTACTTGTATTATATTATACTAATTTTTTTTAACTTACAATATATAACTACATTATATATAAATATATCAATTGAAAAATAATTTTATTTTTCTAATGAATTTTAATAAATATTATTATTTTTTTTATTATAAAGATAAATATATATACAATATGGATGTCAAATCGAAGATCATCAAAAGATGATTAATTTGATATATTATATATGTAAAACAGATAAAAAATATACTACCTCCTATTTTTAATATATGTCGTTTTGAGAAGTTGCACACTAATTAAGAATATTTTTTTTGTCAATAATAACCTTATTTAATGAAGATAGAGATGAATGTTTTGAGAAAAAGTGAAGAGTGAATATGAAAAGACGTAATGTATTTATTGGCTAATGAGGGTAATAATGGAAAAATATGTACAAAATATCCAAAACGACATTTATTTGGCAAATAGTTGAAAAAGCTAGAATGACAATTAAAAAAAATAGGAGGGAGTAAAAGTTATCAACTTTTAAAATACATATATAATTCAATAGCTTATTGAATGAAACAAATCAAAATTAGGATATATTAGTCACTTAGTGCCTCATGTAAAATTACAAAGAATAAAAGAGTTATATTAGTAAAAATGATATTAAAATACCTAAGTTAACTAAATAATATTTATGGAATACCCGAACCTAGATTATTAATTATTAATATATCAATATTATTTATCTAAACTTAATTACGAAGCATGATTCTTCGCCAAATAGGATTCCGAAGCACCAGAAGCAGCCATGTAGGCTTAGCGCATTCGGGAATTATATATAGGGAGGATAATAACATAATAAAATTGATATAAAAAGCAAAAAAAAAAAAGCAAAAGTTACTATTTATAAACAATTATAATAACGTAAATAAAATGGAAATAAAGAGCAAAAAAAGTAAAAAACTAGTATTTCTAATTTATTATAATAATATAAATAAAAATGGAACAAAAAAGCAAAAAATAAAAATAAAAATATTATAGTAATACCAACTATTTTTATGGGCCCGTGTATGTAGAACTCGTCGTCCTCCTCCGCTCTTTTCTCTGTAAAAATTCCCAATCCCATCGGAAGCTCCATTTTCAATTTCTTGATCGATCGGCATCAACCAGAAACCCTAAATCCCCAAATCCTCCTCTTCTTTTCCCTTTAATCCCTTTTTTCAATTCCCAAATTCACTTCAAATCGAAATCTCCCCATCTCGCGCTGATTGATCAATCGATCGAAAAGAGGAGCTGAAAAAAATCCCAGATCGGGTATGGAGCCTCCGAAGTTCAAGAGATTAAGGAAATTCCAGCAGAAGGATCGGGTCAGACCCGATCCGGACCGGCTGAGCTCCCTACCCGACAGCATCCTGGCCCACGTGCTGTCCTTCCTCGACACGAGATCCGCCGTCCGGACCTCCGTCCTATCCCGGCGGTACCGCCTCCTCTGGACCCTGTCGCCGTCTCTGGACTTCTCCTTCTCCGACTACCAGTCCGACCGGTACGAGTCCTACGACGGCCGCGCTTTCTCGCCGGTCAAGAACACGAGCCTCGCCTCCTTCGAGTCGTACGTGAACCGGATTCTTCACCTGAGGGAGCACAGCAACCTAGTGCAGTTCCGCATGTCACTGCACAAGGACGTCACCTCCGAATTCATGGCCGGCTGCATTGACTACGCCGCCAGGCACAAGGTGCAGCACTTGAGGTTACGAGGTTTCGTGAAGCAGAACCCAGTTGCATTGCCCGGAATCTTGATTAATTCGTCGATTTTGATGTCCCTGCATCTGAACAATGCGACTAGCAACAGTATTGAGCTGCCCAGGTCAGTTCATCTGCCGGGGCTGAAGCTCCTGCGTCTCAAGAATTTTGAATTCTGCGACACGAATTTCAATGGGGAGGTTTTCACGGGTTGCCCGAATCTTGAGACGCTGTTTTTGGGAAAATGCTCGATCAGGCCCGGGAATAAGCTCAAGGTTTTGGATGTGAGGTGTTTGAAGCTCAAGAGCTTGGAGATAAGGTGCTGGAGGAGCCCCTGGAAATGCTTTGACGAGCAAGCGATCAACGTGTGGGCCCCGCGCCTCGGGTCCTTTTCATTCCAGGGCCATCTGGCTAGGGTGAATTTCGAGGAAGGCTTGCCGTGTGTTGGAGAAGCTTGCATCGACTTATCTTTCCCCACGGCTTGCTCTATGGTGAATGCGGGTGATAGAAAGGGGAAGACTCTGGAAGGTTTTCTCGACATGCTTCGGCAGATATGCAACGTGAAATGTCTGTCGTTATCGTTGCGGACATTTGAGGTATTGTGTAAATTCATCTTTTATGTAAATCAGTAGAGTTTGTGAAGCTTTTTTGAGTTTCAGGGCATTGAAATATGAAGTAATTGTCTTTTGAACTTTTGTTTTTGTGCTAGTGGTTGACTAGAAGGCCATATTCAATGACCAAAAAGAATAATAATAATGTTAAAGTTGAAATTGACCAAGAGAGTTAAACTGTAAACAATTTCACAAAGGAAAATAAATAGATAAATAATAATAATAATAATTGAATGTTGGTGTGTGCTAACTCATGTGTGTATTTTGGAATTTCTCAGGTTATGGCTGCACCTCACGATTTACAAGGCCGCGCGCCTATAATTTTCGAGAATTTGAGGCTTTTGAGGTTCATAGCTAGGAATAAGTATACGGAGGTGAAATTGCCTGTGGAAACTGTTATGCGATTGCTAGATAAGGTTGCCAATGATGTCTTGATATTTAACAGTTCTAAGGTACTATGCTCGTCTTTCAAAACATTTCTTTTGTTTTCACTTTCATGTGAGTGGCTTTTCTAACATTTCTTGTTTATGTGATGCTTGAATGCCAGTTTTGAGTTTGTATATTTTGCTTCAGTTGACAGTGCTCTAATTGAAAGTTAAGTTACTTGACCTTTAATGATATATTTTTTATATGCACATTTTGATTTCCAGAAAAAGAAACACTCGCCCGAGTCCTCAAAGGCCAAGAAAAAGAAGAGAAGAAAAATAGCCGTCCCAACTCATGTGATGCACTTCCTATTACAAAGTTCACCATCTTTGGAACTGTTTGGCGTTCAAATACCAAAGGTACTCGATTTCTTTTAAGAAAATCGAATGCATGATAGAATATGATTTTTGCTTTATAGTGACACGAGTGTATATGCCATTATTGAATTTCAGGATTCACCAGGTCAAGATTGAAAAGGATAAAAGATAGGTGCATTTGTTTGAGATGATCGGTTTTCGTGTTGTTTGTTTTGGCCTTTCGTTGTCCTTGTAATTCATTTTGTGTAGTTTAGTATTTGTACAAGACTCGTGTACGCTTGTTGGTGCATGTACATTACTTTGGACATCGTCTTTGTAGATTTTTTTGAACCGAGTTTTGTACTTGTTACAGCTCAACTCAAGTGCTGAAAACCACCCATAAATCAGTGTTGTTATTATTTTGTGTAAAGGATAATATGGATTGGGAAATATTATGATTTTACAGGGATTTGTAGAAGTCTTTCACTACTAATTTGATTTATTTTTTTTATTTTTTTTATTTTAAATTATTTTGTCCTTATAATTATTATTGTTCTCCCCATACTTTTACTTTGATTTGCATCTGCCCTTTCATTTCTCAAAATTCAAAAATTCAATATTTTTACATTTGGCACAATATGTTGCTAAATTGCAAATTAAATCCCATTCTTTTACTTCATTTGCAATTTAGCCTCAATATTTTAATTTTGTCAAATAAAAAAACACCGAATTTTCAAGTTTTGCAAATGGAACCACGCTGTCCACAAATCGGATATTAGAGACGTCCTGCTCGTTTCTGCACATTACGTACAGCTCGTTGAACAAGAGAGGGAAAGAGGAAATTATCACAAATGGGAAAAAATAGAAATAAAATTAAAGGTTGGATTTTGTAAATGTTGAACTATTTTTTTTTTTTTTTTATTATTATTATTATTATTATTGGTGTGATGTTTAAATTTATTGACATTCATTCTCGATTAAAATGTAAGTTGAAATTTTAAGATTTTGCAATATTCCTAAACTATTGCAAATGGATTTTCCAAAAATTGTGTTTTATAATGTGGGTGTATTTACGAATAAAAGGAGACGTTCAAATTTAGATGTTAAAAAAAAAAAGAAAGATGCTATGGTCTCGTTATTGAACCATTCGTCAAAATTTGTAACTGTTAAATTAATTATCTCAGACGATTATACGGTGATCTAACTGCAAACCCGACGAAATGATCAAGGGAACCTTAGCATTCACTTTAAAAAAAAAAGCGTACTAAAGATTTGCATGCACATGTGAAATTATCCCAAAGAACACCAGCCGCATTGTAGGAAACAAAAAGGTCAAGGTGCAAAATGTAATAACATAAAAACTGCCACACCGTCTCCAGATTCTGCTTCCCTGTACGAGAAGCTGCTCGATTTTCCGCAAAACAATGAAAAATGTCTTCCCCACTTCACATTCATCCACAGCTACAGAGAAAACCTCGTCTCAACTCTAGACTTCTCTAGAATTCAATCATTTATCCTAAAAAGTCCAATTTTTTTTCTTATATAAAAGAAAACATTTCCTCTGTTTCTTGCCCGAAAAAACGACCACATAAGACTGCACAAATCATCTAGTTTCTACAGTTCCCATGGCTACAGCGGCTCAGCTCAACTGCCCATTTTCTCAGGCAGGCAATAAAACCCCTTTTCTGGGTATTAAAGCCGGCAAGACGCCGCCTTTTGTTTCGTTCCGCGCAGGAAAAGGCAACGGGCTCCGGTTTTCAAGGCGCAGCCGGCACAGGCCTCTCAGGGTCGTGTGCGAGAAGGTGGTGGGGATCGACCTAGGCACCACCAACTCCGCCGTGGCGGCGATGGAGGGCGGCCAGCCGACGATCGTGACCAACGCCGAGGGTCAGCGGACGACGCCGTCGGTGGTGGCGTACACCAAGGCGGGGGACAGGCTGGTGGGGCAGATCGCGAAGAGGCAGGCGGTGGTGAACCCTGAGAACACGTTCTTCTCGGTGAAGAGGTTTATTGGGAGGAAGATGAACGAGGTAGATGAGGAGTCTAAGCAGGTTTCGTATAGGGTTGTGAAGGATGAGAATGGAAATGTGAAATTGGAGTGTCCTGCTACTGGTAAATTGTTTGCTCCTGAGGAGATTTCAGCTCAGGTATGCTTTTATCTTTAATTTTTTCCCTTTTTGAGATAGTTGAGTTTAAGTGCTTATGTTGCTTTATTGATCTTGAGATCATGAGATGGCTGAGTTCATGGGTCTGCGGTGATTGGTCGCGAGGGTTCGATTGATGGGGCTTTGATGGATTGTGTTCTTCTACTTGTTTTTCTTATTATATTGTGATGCTACGAACAGCACTATTTTCGTGAATATCATTGAGAAGTAGAAGATGTAATCTTGGATGCAAAACTTTCGTTATTTACATCTTTGATGCATATTAAAGAATAACACTAGATATGGACAAGTTCGGTCATCGAAAACAGTCTGATTCAAAAGTTCAAAATTTTTTCATCTCAGGTCTTGAGAAAGTTGGTTGATGATGCCTCAAAGTTTTTAAACGATAAGGTCACTAAAGCAGTTATAACTGTACCGGCCTATTTCAATGACTCCCAAAGGACCGCAACAAAAGATGCTGGCCGAATCGCTGGATTGGAAGTCCTCCGTATAATCAATGAACCTACAGCTGCTTCATTGGCTTATGGTTTTGAGAAGAAAAATAATGAAACAATTCTCGTTTTTGACCTTGGAGGTGGTACATTCGATGTTTCAGGTACCAATCCATTTTAGGTTGACTCAATACCGTTTGCTGTAATAAGCCTTCTTTGAAAGCCATAATGCAACAAATGTTGCATTATGAATCTTTTGATGTGCTCTGGTTGGTTAAGTGTTTGCTCTTTCTCTTGATTTCTTGAACTTCCGAAAAAATGTTGCCGGTGCTAAACTAGCATTGATAAATATTTGCAGTTCTTGAGGTTGGAGATGGTGTTTTTGAGGTGCTTTCCACCTCAGGGGACACACATCTCGGAGGTGATGATTTTGACAAGGTATGTGAAATCTATTCAAAAGATTCATGTCGACTTAAAATGTCTTGGTCTATGGTTATGATTATATTAATGCGTGCTTATCATGTGAAACAGAGAATAGTCGACTGGCTTGCAGACAATTTCAGAAAAGACGAAGGCATTAATCTTCTGAAAGACAAACAAGCCCTCCAGCGTTTAACCGAAACTGCGGAGAAGGCGAAAATAGAATTATCTTCTTTAACTCAAACCAACATTAGGTATGTGTTGTTCGTAAATTACAATTTTATTACATTTTTTTTACGGTTTGCTTGTCTTTACCGAGTGGTTTTGTTGCCTTGCAGTTTGCCCTTTATCACTGCCACTGCAACTGGTCCAAAACACATAGATACAACGTTAACAAGGGCTAAATTCGAAGACTTATGCTCTGACTTACTAGACAGGTGAGGGTTATGACCGCGCGTCGCAACGCGGCAAAATTAAAATTTATATTTTTCCTTGACTAACCTCTACTAACTGATAGTAGTGGCGAGCAAGGGTCGATCCCACAGGGAGTGTGAATCAAATTATGAATTTTCTCGTATTAATTGAATTATAAAAGCAATAAAGGGAGGGGGGGTTGGATTTAATAACTAAAATAACTAAAATTCTAATGAAGCAAATAAAATATAAACTAGAAAATAAAAATAAAATAAAATAAATAAAGAGAAATTTCTAGTTCACGGTTCCGTCTACACCCTCGACTGACTCATCTAATCAATTCTGGTCTCAAATCTCGTTATCTTATGAAATTACTAGCCCTAGGCAACGACACGGTCTGTTACCCGAATTTTTCCTTATTTTTAATCTAACCGTGAGACGCTCTACGATTAAATCTGACCTCTTGAACAGTCTAGGAATACGCTTCCTAAATTTAATTCAATTAGCCGCTTTACGAATTAGAAAAATAGGCTAGACTAAGTAGTGAACTCAACCGCGTTCGTTCACTTAAATAGGCCGTGTTATCCCCGGTAGTTACCATCTTCCGGATACCACTTACGAATTAAACACATCAACAATTACGGATTGAAGGCCTAATTCAGGTGTAGACATGTAAAGTCTAATCTAGGTGATCAATCTAAATCAAACTCAACACATCATGGTTAATTATTCAAAATAACACAAACAATTCCAAAAAGATAACTAAATAATCAACCAAGAGAATTAATCAAACATTCATCGAGTCTTAGGGTTCAACTTCCCCGGAACTAGAATAATATCTACTCTAACATAATAAATAAAAACGAAAAGAGAAGAGTAAAGTTATCCTTCTCGTGTGCGGTGCGGCCTCCCTCCGCGATTGATCGAGCTTCTCGCGTATTTTCTCTGTTTGTGCGGCTCTGTTCCTTTCTCTGTTCGCGTGAATATTTCTTTCCCTGTATGCTTGGCGGCTCCTTTCTGTTCTCTTTGTGCGTCAATAATTAGTTCCAGATGCCCTCTATATCTCTCATTCAAGTGCTACCCATCTCTTTTGATAAGTGGTCAATTAAATTATTTGGGCCCACTAAAACTCCATTATCTCAAAGTGACGTGAGTATCCCCTAAAATTAACTCTAAGCTGCCCATTAAGATGAGCACATCTTCTATCCACCAAGCCACCATTATATTTGTCCAAGGCCCTCAAATATTGGGCCTATTTTGTTCATCCTTGGGCCCAAAATTGAGCATGTGTAGGGCTGAGTATTGGGCAGAGTATGAGGTACCCCAGTACTGGCCTGCTTTCAATCCTTCTTCAATGTCTCGTTTTCCATAAAAATACTTCAATATCCTAAAAATAAAACATAAATATATCAAAGCACCAGATCCACCTGAAGAGATAAATAAGTCGAAAAATATATATGTGTGATAAAATTAAGCATATAAAAATACGCTAATAAATATATAGAATACACACTTTTTCCGACCAATCAAATCTCCCCAAACTTAAACTGTTGCTTGTCCTCAAGCAACTTAGAACTATAAGCACATAGATGGATAAGAAAACATGTACATGGAACTTTACTCAGAGCCTCACAATTCTCACATAAGTGCATAGTTCAAACAACTCAAATCAATTTATCTGGACTCAAGACAAATTTATTCTAAGAGCGCAAACACATCAAGTATCAATTCAAGTGACCACCATAGTTTGTCAATCTCTTTAACGAATGCACCGATCAATGCAACTAATGACACCCCTCTCTTTGCTAACAAGTCTAGTTTCTTTCCGTTTCTAGTCGAAGTCCAAACGTCTCATTCTCCAAGCTCTTTTTTTTCTCTCTTTTTTTATTCTTTTTTTTCTTTTTTTTTTAGAGTAGGGAACGGCAGCTCCGTCACAACCCGCGGGTTTTAGCCTTTCGTGCTCGTATAGATATAAAAATTATTGGTATACACTAGAGCCTCCACGGATTGGCAGCTGTTGCAGCCCATGACTTTTTTTTTATTTTTTTTATTTTTTATTTTTTTTTTTTGCCAAAGGCTTTTCAACTCCACCAATTATTCCTCCATCCTCATTATTCTTTTTTTTTTCGACTATGAGATATAGAAACCCCAACTTTCAACTTCAAGTCCCCAAACTTAATCAACATTGATTAAAGCAATCACAAGCACATCTCAACAATTCAAATCGTCTCAAAACCAACTCACCACAATAAGTCACAAAAATATCAACCTTCATGCCTTTGTTCCCAAAATAAAAACACCTTAAGAATTTAACCAAATAAAATCAACTCAAGCCATTTAAACTAGCACAATAAATTCAAATCAACTCTCATGTCATCATCGCAAAATTCCACGTATGCAATCTCATGCTCAAACAAGACAAACAAATATCATGCAACAATCTAAGAATTCAAACTCTAAGGGGCAAATATATAATCACATAATAAAACATGAATGCTCACCAAGAAATACCTCCCCAAACTTAGAGTTTGCATATATCATCAACACCAATAAGCACAAAAAAAAATAAAGGTAAAAGAAACGAGTTCACCTTAGTAAATGCAGAGAAAGTCACTTAACCACGCACACCATTGGGTTGCCTCCCAATAAGCGCCTCTTTTTATTGTCGTTGGCCCGACTTATTGCTCCTTCTCATCAAAGAGTCCATGGTGGCTTCGGAGGTGGCCTCAAGGGGGCCACAAACCTCACCATGTCATGCTTGACGACATCCCATATCCTCGGTGTTGGGTGCTTCACCGGATCTTTCCTCCATGACGCTAATTCCTCAAGGATATCTAGCAGCTCGCGCTCAATCACGGTCATCGTTTCAATAAACTCCCACTTACACCTTTTGTTCTGCTCGATCGTCTCAAGAGAAGATATATCAAGGCCCAAGACATGCTTCAGTGCATCTTTACTCAGTACCCACTTCATACTGGAAGAGATAAGACATGGTCCAGCTTCTATCGGCACAAGAGCGGGGAGAACGGTACGCTTTTTCACTACAGCAGGTCCAGTACGGGGTACATCAGGGAGAGTATGGGGCACCCCAGTACTGGGCTGCTTCGACTCCGTTTCCTCTGTGTTCGTGATTTTTTCGTTCTCCGACTCGTATGTGCCCTCTTCAGGTTCCTCGAGGTCCTCTCTGCACAAATGAGTGACGCTTGAACTCATCGGACTTGTTTCGAGCCGACACACTAGTCGGTCCATTTGTTCCGCCAGTTGACTCATTTGCCCTTGTAAATTCCTTATGCGCAAGCCTTGGTTCTCGATGCTCTGCTCTTGGTTCTTGATGCTAGCCTCAACGCTTTGCTGAAAGTTAAGGGTGTGAGCCGTCAACTCCATCAACATATCCTCGAGCGATGGACCAGGATCTCTTTCAATTAATGGCTCACAGAACTCTTGCCGAAATCTCAACGTGTTAGCCGCGAATGCATTCACCATATCCTCCACAGACGGTCTGGGATCTCGCGCAATTGGTGGCTCGGAGTACCCATAGAAAGAGTTCGAGTGCTCTCTCAAGTGGTATCCATACTCATCGGTATAGAAGTAGTCTTGGTCGTTCCTTTGCCAACCACTAGGTCCTCTTACGTCTCGATCTCCAATCCACGGGCCTCGCATCTCCCTCTCATATTGGTAAGGTGTCTGGTGGGTATAAAAGTCGTGATAATAGGCTGCCATCTCGAAAAATTGCACCAAGCTCGATCAAAAGCGCCAATTAACCCGTGAGTATGGGGTCAAACTTTTCTGTCCAGTAGAGTACGGGGGCACCCAGTATTCTGCAAGAAAAATAAAAACAAAGAAAATAGAGGGGTAAAAGATTTAAAATAAAATCCTAAAAGAAAAGCAATAAAAAAGATAATAATTCAATTAGTACTCAAAAATCACAATTCAATAACGCCACTCCCCGGCAACGGCGCCAAAATTTGACCGCGCGTCGCAACGCGGCAAAATTAAAATTTATATTTTTCCTTGACTAACCTCTACTAACTGATAGTAGTGGCGAGCAAGGGTCGATCCCACAGGGAGTGTGAATCAAATTATGAATTTTCTCGTATTAATTGAATTATAAAAGCAATAAAGGGAGGGGGGGTTGGATTTAATAACTAAAATAACTAAAATTCTAATGAAGCAAATAAAATATAAACTAGAAAATAATAAAATAAAATAAATAAAGAGAAATTTCTAGTTCACGGTTCCGTCTACACCCTCGACTGACTCATTTAATCAATTCTGGTCTCAAATCTCGTTATCTTATGAAATTACTAGCCCTAGGCAACGACACGGTCTGTTACCCGAATTTTTCCTTATTTTTAATCTAACCGTGAGACGCTCTAAGATTAAATATGACCTCTTGAACAGTCTAGGAATACGCTTCCTAAATTTAATTCAATTAGCCGCTTTACGAATTAGAAAAATAGGCTAGACTAAGTAGTGAACTCAACCGCGTTCGTTCACTTAAATAGGCCGTGTTATCCCCGGTAGTTACCATCTTCCGGATACCACTTACGAATTAAACACATCAACAATTACGGATTGAAGGCCTAATTCAGGTGTAGACATGTAAAGTCTAATCTAGGTGATCAATCTAAATCAAACTCAACACATCATGGTTAATTATTCAAAATAACACAAACAATTCCAAAAAGATAACTAAATAATCAACCAAGAGAATTAATCAAACATTCATCGAGTCTTAGGGTTCAACTTCCCCGGAACTAGAATAATATCTACTCTAACATAATAAATAAAAACGAAAAGAGAAGAGTAAAGTTATCCTTCTCGTGTGCGGTGCGGCCTCCCTCCGCGATTGATCGAGCTTCTCGCGTATTTTCTCTGTTTGTGCGGCTCTGTTCCTTTCTCTGTTCGCGTGAATATTTCTTTCCCTGTATGCTTGGCGGCTCCTTTCTGTTCTCTTTGTGCGTCAATAATTAGTTCCAGATGCCCTCTATATCTCTCATTCAAGTGCTACCCATCTCTTTTGATAAGTGGTCAATTAAATTATTTGGGCCCACTAAAACTCCATTATCTCAAAGTGACGTGAGTATCCCCTAAAATTAACTCTAAGCTGCCCATTAAGATGAGCACATCTTCTATCCACCAAGCCACCATTATATTTGTCCAAGGCCCTCAAATATTGGGCCTATTTTGTTCATCCTTGGGCCCAAAATTGAGCATGTGTAGGGCTGAGTATTGGGCAGAGTATAAGGTACCCCAGTACTGGCCTGCTTTCAATCCTTCTTCAATGTCTCGTTTTCCATAAAAATACTTCAATATCCTAAAAATAAAACATAAATATATCAAAGCACCAGATCCACCTGAAGAGATAAATAAGTCGAAAAATATATATGTGTGATAAAATTAAGCATATAAAAATACGCTAATAAATATATAGAATACACACTTTTTCCGACCAATCAGGTTAACTACTAAAATATGTTCAAACTTCTGTGACTAATACATTTTTGAATTAACTGTAATAGGATTATGATAATTTTTTTTCGGTTTTTGCTTGATTCTGTGAGTCTAAAAAATCATCTTCTGCAGGCTGAAAACTCCTGTTGAGAATGCCTTGAGAGATGCAAACCTCTCAATAAAGAACATAGATGAAGTAATTCTGGTTGGAGGCTCGACCCGAATACCTGCAGTTCAGGGTCTTGTTAAGAAGATGACTGGGAAAGAACCTAATGTCACTGTTAATCCAGACGAGGTTGTTGCACTTGGAGCCGCAGTTCAGGTACGAACGAGTTTTCCTATTTTTTTTTTTTTTTTAAATAGTTTTTTAGTGCTACGAAATCGCAAACAACTCAAAGAATTTGATGACACTAAGACTATTCTTTTTTAGGCTGGTGTTTTGGCCGGTGATGTCAGCGATATCGTGCTCCTCGACGTGACCCCACTGTCACTCGGCTTAGAGACGCTCGGTGGTGTAATGACGAAAATCATCCCGAGAAATACCACTTTACCGACTTCCAAATCAGAGGTTTTCTCCACAGCAGCCGATGGCCAAACAAGTGTCGAGATAAATGTGCTGCAAGGCGAACGCGAATTCGTGAGGGATAACAAATCCTTAGGAAGCTTCCGGTTGGACGGGATCCCTCCGGCGCCACGTGGGGTCCCACAAATCGAGGTGAAATTCGATATAGATGCTAATGGAATCCTCTCGGTCACGGCCATTGACAAAGGAACAGGGAAAAAGCAGGATATCACCATAACTGGAGCTAGCACCTTACCCAAGGACGAGGTATTTTTTTTTATTTTTTTTTTAATATTTGAAGAAAAAGAACTATATGAGAAAAAAGATTATTTAAGTTGGAAATTTGAAAATTTGTTCAGGTGGATAGAATGGTTAGGGATGCTGAAAGATTCGCAAAGGAGGATAAGGAGAAACGAGAAGCAATCGACACCAAGAACCAGGCCGAGTCTGTAGTGTATCAAACTGAAAAGCAACTGAAAGAACTTGGAGAGAAAGTCCCAGCAGGTGTAAAAGAGAAAGTGGAAAATAAATTGAAGGAGCTGAAGGATTCTCTCTCTAGTGGCTCCACACAAGCCATTAAGGATGCCATGGCTGCTTTGAATCTGGAAGTCATGCAGATCGGGCAGTCTTTGTACGGTCAGCCAGGAGCTGCTGCCTCAGGGCCTGAGCCAGCCGGTGGGCCCACCCGGGAAAGTGGCTCGACTGGTAAATCGTCAGATGGAGATGGGGAAGTGATTGATGCGGATTTTACCGAGAGTAGCTGAATACACAGTGTTACTAGGATGTAAGATTTTGGTTAGATTATAACTTTTTATTATGAGTCTCTCAGTTTGTGCTTGTGTTGCATATAATGTACAGATGTGTGAGTTATTCAAAGGAATGTGAAAATATGAAGAATCCAGTAGTAAATGATAAATTTTCCTCCCTTTAATGCTTGGACTACTGATGTTCCTAGAGGTTCTGGTAAGAACTAGTTGAGTTTTGATCCACAAAGATGTAAAATACTGAAAATAACTAAATAAATAAATAAACATATGAGAGGTGGGGATCATAAATAACTGTGGGAACCCTTTCATGCAGCCAGAGTACAGAATTCTGAAAAAAAAAATAAAAAAAAAAAGCTTTAGAACCCAAAAAACCTCCTAAAAGTCCCCAAGAACTTGCCTTTCTTCTTCACACATCTTCTGTTGGTAATAAGCTCACTCCCACATTCATCTTCACTGTCTGATTCGGCGTTCGAGCCACACAGATGGTGGATTCTTGAATAACCTTCGGACACCGATGCCGATCTCCTAACAGGAAGCAATTTCTTCTCGACTTGACGGTCATCCAGGACTGCCTGATCAGGTTTTCCAGAGGATATTCGGCATTTTTGACCAAGTATAGTCCCGAAAATCTCCCCATGTTTTGCAGAGGAGATTTGACATTTTCGGCCAAGTATAGTCCCGAAAACCTCCCCAGGACTCTCCTCGATTTCGTGCACGGTCTTCATCTTCAGTGTGCCGTTTGGTTTGGCGATTTCTTTGGATTCAAGTTTAGAACTTATTGAGAAATTCGGTGTGCTGGATCTTGGTTCGCATTGGGGGATAGACCGATCATCAAAGTCTACCGATTTGGATCTTGTCGAGCTAGGCTGCGGCCTTTTCTCGATTCTCGAGTATCCATTGTTCATTCTGTATGTAGAGAATGGTGAAAGGGAATCAACAAGGGATGGAAGTTCTTGGAAGAGTAGAGAGGAATTTGGGTCAAAGATGAAAGAATTTGTGATGCCAAGATTTGGAGGGAAAGACATTGTACAATTTGGGCATTTGTGTGCCTTACGGCATGGTTATAGGGGCAATGCATTCACGGGCTTTTTAGCCCTTGATTTCACACACACCCGAAGGCTAAAAAAGCCCATGAATGCACTGCTCATAGGGGTAAGTACGAAATTTCCAGATAAGTTAGACTCGCCGTGTTGATTAGTCCATCTCACAAGTTAGTGTACTTTGACATTCGATACCGTAAAAGGCGAAAAATTTGAGTTAACATTCAAAAGTTACAGATATATACTTTGAAAATTATAGAAAAAGCTACAAGAACAACAAATATACAATGTATATAGGTGCAATCAAAGTCTAAATTGATACAGAATGCTAGTTAGAAAACTTTTTTTATTTTGGTTTTGGGTAAAACTCATTGAATTATGTATTATGTACTGTGTGACAGATTGACATCCTAAGATCAGATTGTTCCCCTGAATAATTGCTTATAATTGAGGGGTATGGGGCAGTCTGAGGCATGTGAGGTGTTTTCTTGGATGGTTTAATGTGTTTTGCAGATATCTGTTTGGTTTGTTAGAAGATGTGACATGACCAATTTTTAATTTTTTTTTTTTTTTTTTTTTTTTTTTTTTTTTTTAAGAACATGCTCATTTGGTTTTTCTCATATTCTTGATATTATATATTAATCTAGATTAGAAATAATTATTTATCCAATGTGATATAGCAATCTATATAACATAATACAGCCAAGTTCATGCAAGTTTTTTCCAGTGAATTGTTAAATTGGAAGTTTTGTTTGTATCATTAGTGTCTTTGTTTATGTATCTCAAGCTCAAAAGACTTCATTTTTTCCTCTTATACACATAACGTCTCGAAAAATAAACATACGCCGCCATTGTTACCGCGCTTAGACCCGACAACAGCCAATAAAAGTAATCGAGATGTGCTCGATTCAGGTTGTTCGCAAACCAGCCGAAGTCCCCATCGCCACCGGTCACCTTCTCGATATCCGATATCAAGATGCTACTCAGAAACCCTCCTGTCCCGAATATACTAAGGTACAACGAGAGCCCGATGCTCTTCAGATCAACGGGCACCCGATCGTAAAAAACTCCTGAAGGCCAACCATTGTAAAAACCTCGGCAAGGCCAAACAGTAAGTACTGTGGGGCCAACCACAACACGCTCATCGGCACCGTTGACTCGGGCTTGTAGACCAACCCGTGCTTGACAGCTGTCGAGAGGCGTTTGCGCTCGACGAGAGCGGCAGTGACCATGGTGGTAAAAGACAAGAATACCCCTGTGCCTATCCGTTGGAGCATGGTTATGCCCGATGGGTTTTTGGTCAGGGATCCTGCGACTGGGACCAAAAATTGGTCGTAAATCGGTACGAACAGCATGTAGATAAGGAGATGAGAGATTGGAGTGAGGCGGCCGGGATTTGGAAAGTTCCGGTGATGATGTGGGGGTCAGGGGCAGATCTAGGTCATAAAATGAGTGATGCCACATTTTTTTTAAGAATATAATACACAATAAAAAATATAAATACAAAAATACACCTTTATAGTTATTTTTTATGAATTTTTATATCTTGGCATGAATTTTTTACTGCATTTTCTTTCGACCAAAAAATATTAGGATCTACGGGAGATATATTTGGACTGAACTAGCTCATTTTGAGATATATTCACATGTACTTCTTTGTCAAGACAAAAAAAAACAGTAAAATATTGAAGCCTTTTTGCTTCCAATCACAAAAACAGAAAAGAGCAAAAGGAAAAAGCAAACAGGTGAGAAGAATATACGGTGCAAGGAAAACAAGAACACACCAACACGCAAAAATAAGCCCCAAACTTGTAAAGATCCAAACTTTACATAACTGCATGAAAATATACCTACCAAAAAAGGAAAAAAAAAAAAAGAAAGAAAGAAAATGTTATCTCATCCTGTTCTATAAACATAGGACTTTGCAAAATGGAGACATAGGACAACAACGAGAAAGCATTTATCCCAGCCACGAGCCAATAGAAGTAATCGAGATGGGCCCGGTTCAAATCGTCTCGAAAACCAGCTGTCCCGACCGGCCCGGCCCGTGCCCAAATTGATAAATCTGCATGTTCTTTTTCTTTTCGCTATTCTTTTAGACACTCTGCCTGATGAGCGTGTATTTTTGTTGCATGTTAGCTTTTGCAGATAGAAATAACGAGTCGAATGAGCCGCGAAAATCGAAGCAAATGATTGTCGTTGTGTGACAAACTACTCAAGTTGAGAAGATTCATTAGACAATGCGCGTTGTGCTTCAAGCTCACTAGATATAGCGGCAAACACCGGTTGCCATCTTAGAGCTGCGTCGACCAAAATCCGAATAAAATCAATCACGAAAAACAAGAGGCTCTCCAAGGGAACAACTTCTCGCTACATTTTGATCAAGTGAATTTTGGATGAATTTTCATACAGTTACATCTGCACTACATTTTTTTCCCATACATGAGTTCACTTTATCCATCTCCCAAGACATTCTCCAACTTGTATATAAAATTATTACACCACAAAAAATGAACAACCGGCGGGTCAAGAGGGTATTTGTGGAAACAAACGAGCGAAACCCTCTTCTTCTCTACAAACGAGTACTTGTTCTCCCGTACATAAATGACCTCGTGAAGCACACGAATGCCACCAGCCCAACCGCGCTCAACCCTACCAACACCCAGTAAAAGTAGTCGAGATGCGCCCGGTTTAGATTGTCCGCGAACCACCCTTCCTGCCCTCCCCTGCTCGTCACCCTCTGTATCGCAGATATCATCAAACTGCTCATCAAGCTCCCGACGCCTAAAACGCTGAGGTACATGGCAATCCCCACGCTCTTCACCTCACCCGGCACCTCCCCGTAAAACAGCTCCTGCAGCCCCACCATCGCAAACACGTCCGAGACCCCCGCCAGCACGTATTGCGGCGTAAACCACCACACACTCATGGGGACAACGGCCCCCTGGAGGTCCTCGAGGCCGGCCCTCTGGGCGGCCAAGAGGCGGCGTCGCTCGACGAGTGCGGCGGCCGCCACGGAGACGAGGGAGATGAGGAAGCCGATGGAGATGCGGTGGAGCAACGGGATGCCGGGGGGCGTTTTGGTAAATTTACGTGCGAGGGGAACGAGGGCGCGGTCGTAGAGCGGGAGCAAGATGATGACTGTGGAGATGATGAAGAGCTGCATGAAGGCCGCGGCGGGTATCTCGAACGAGTGGGTGACATGGCGGTCGACAGTCGAGGTTTGTTTCGTGTAGAGAGCAGCCGGCTGGGCGTACACGATCGAGTAGCCGAGGCAGGCGAACCAAATCGGGACGAGGCGGAGGATCGACTTGGCGTCCTCCACGTCGCGCGCTGAGCAGAGCTTGCCGTCTCGCGGGAGCAACGCTTTGTCGAGAAACCTTTGGAAGGGGACAAATCAATGAAGTAGTTCAGGTTATACTTAGTAAACCTAGTCGAAAAAAACTAGTTGATAAGTGATAGTTTACAAGTGAATTTCAGTGTTTATAGGTGATAACTTATGACTAATAGTTGAAAAACTATCTGGTATAGTGATGTAGTAAAAGTGTGTAATAATAGTTGATAAGTCAACTGAAATATATGTTTCAACGGGCCTTTTTCTTATGAGATAAGCACCCGTTTTTTAAAAAAGTTCGTCCTACATAGCTAGCTAGCTTATGGTGCTTATCAAACACACTATTGAACGTGTAGTAACAATGAGTGTCAAACTAAGTACTCCATATGAAATGGTGACCAAAAGAACACAGAGATTAAGAATATTTGGACTCACCTAAATTGAGAAGCTGTACTGGAAACAACCCCTTCCTCCCCACACAATGCCGGCACAGAGGTGGCCCGCCAGTTTCTCACAGCCACAACAAAAACCCGACCGATCCTCACGAACGGGTTTGACCCGTCCGACTTGACCCGGAACCGGTAAGTCGAGCACCCGACCAAGAACAGAGCCAGGGCAAGGCACATGATGACTGCCGGGATTCCGAACCCAAGCAACCAGCTCACATTTTCCTGAATATAAGTGAGGACCAATAGTGGCAACAATATACACCCTATAGACAAACAATACCACCAATTGAAAAACGAGCTTTTGGCCCGGGACTCTGCCTCGTCATCCTCGTCAAACTGGTCGGCCCCCAAGGCCTGCAGGCACGGCGTGAGCCCTCCATGTGCCAAAGCGACTAGGTAGAGGGAGAAAAAGAAGAAAACGAGCTGGAACTGGTTGGGAGCACAGCTGGCTATGTCGATTGAGGCGAGTTTGCATTTGGAGGTGTCTGCCTGACGAAGGGCGGCCGACAGGGATAGGAAGCTGAGTCCCTGTGAAATGTATTAAACAGAACACGAAAGCGAAAAATGATTAAATTATTGATAGGCTCTAGTCGAGCCTAGCCAGCCAGCACAATTATGAGAACAAGTGTGTAGTAAATTGTTCTCTAGTGATGAAAATTAGAAACAGTCAAGCAAAATTCACTCTGTTAAGTCTTCCATCACAAAAAAAGGAAGACTAAAAGAAGTTGGGATGTTTCACTTGCACCACATAATTTGGGCAGATATTAAAGAAGATAAGGATATCCCAGCTGAAGATGTGAGTGGACACCATTCAATTGTGCAGATTCAATGCAAAGCTACAACAGTGTAACAACAGCATGGTTTTTGGCTAGCCAAAAACATGAACAATTCACGACCAAATATTTTCAAGCCGAAAGCAAAAGCAGATTCAATCAAATAAGCTGAAATACAAAACAAACAAGGCTCACATTCTCAAAAATAAAGGTAAAATTAAAATATAAAAACAAATAAAACACTAACCAAAATGTAAACCACGGAGGAAAGTACAATCATCCGAAACCGCCCCGTGAACGAATCCGCTAAAAACGCTCCCAAAATCGGCAAAAGCGACGCTGTTCCATACCACGCGTTCAAAGCAGACGCCGCCGTGGCCGTGGGCTGCCCCATTTTTCCGGTCAGGTAGCTCACCAGGTTCGAGCTTATACCGTAATACGACAGCCTCTCCGCCCATCCAGCTCCTAAAGAAGAAGAAGAAGGGTAAGTTAAAATTATTCGGCTCCAAAAAAAATGAAGAAAAGAGCCAAAGAGGTGTATGATTGTATTCAATATGGTATAGCACCGATAACGAAGGCGGCGGATTTCCAACGGCCGGATTTCGAGCGGAGGGAGGGCCTCCCCTTGAAGTCGACGGAGGTTGGAACGACGTCGTTCAGTAGGGGAATCTCCGGCGCAGAGGTTCCATCACCTGCGCTGATAGTCATCCTCTGTCTCTCTCTCTCTCAATATCTCCTGTGAATATCTGAAAAACTGTGTATAGTGTATTACTCTATACTGCTGTGCAGGGAGCTCGGCTACTTTATGCTAGGTGCACGTGGTCCAACATTGCTTAATTTATTAGTTCATGACCATAAAAGTTTCGATTTTATGTTATACTCACGTAGATGAAAATGAGAAGTTGGAAAATTCCATTTTAAGTTCTGATTTTTTATTTTAGTTTTTAAGTTTTGAGTTTGACCCAACTTTGTTTGACAAATCGGTCGATTTAGTTAACAAGTTAGGTTTCAACTCAGTTTGACTCGTTCAAATGAGTCGAGCTTTAATTAACGAGTTGGGTTCAACTCGACTCGTAACTCGTAAAGGCTCGGGAAGAGAAACTTCTATATATTTTTTTTATAGATTAAGCCCGATTCCTTATATTGATAAACGAGTCTAGTTCGAGTTTGATTATTGTTCAGTTAGAAGCCGAGTGCTCAAGAGCTTGTGTTGGACACTGCTAGACCTAACCTATCAGCTGCTAGAAAAAAAAAAATCATATTGTTTGGATCGTCCACACTCGCACGTGTTTGGATCGTCTGGTGATAAAATTGGTGGAACTTTTACCGCTGCTAGCCTTACCTGTCCTTGGATTTTTTTTTTTATATATATTAATATCTACATATATATAATTGCTAGCTCATGACCATTTAATAAAAGCTATTAAATTATACTTATGTAGCAATATTATTTTTCCCTCCGAAAACCGTTACTTTTTATTTATTTAACCTCTCATTTATTTATTAGACAATTAACACACTAATTACTTCAAAACTACAAAAATCATTTTAAACATTTTTATTTACTTACAACTGACCATAATGTGTCGACCATTTAGCGTGATTAAATGTTATTGTTGTGGTTACATTTAAATTAACTTCAAAACGTATTTGAAATTCCTAAATAAATAATAAATAATTCACAAATAAAATACATACTAAAATATACATTACATCCAATATAAATAAACGTAATTTTAAAAAATAACTATTTCAGCTCCTTTAATTGTAAATTTGGCCTGCAAAAAGTGCAAGAAAAATGATTAAACAATTATATGCATACAAATAACTCACAATACTTTATTTATATTTGTGCAAATGTATCGATTATTAGTTATATAAGTTTGAGAAGCGTGTTGAGAAATCATACCGTGAAAGATACGGAATCAACTGCAATAAAGTCGTGAAAGTTGAGAGGACTTTTGGCAAAAAAAATATCTTCAGTGACAATGAAGTGAGTTAACATGCACACCACATAAGAGCACAGTCAGAATTAGCATGTTTTAAACATGGTCCGACCAGTATTATTTTATGAAAAAAAAAAAAAGATATTTTATAATACCAAAATACATAATTTTGTTAGGGTGTCTCCAATGGTTAGCTATTTGGCTAGCTATTATGACGTGGACATGGAAAAAGTAAGAGAGAGAGTAGTCACTAGCTACTAACAAATAGCTTATCTATTTCACGTAGACCAATATTATGTGAGAGGAGTATGTGGGTCCAATAGTGTAAAATAGTTATTTTTCTTATCTCTCACATCCATGTCAGCTGACTATATAGCTAGTAATAGCTATTACCATTAGAGATGCCCTTATGACGGGTTGACCAGTTTTATTTCTGACAGGACACGAGGCATTCCGATAAAACATAGAAATACAATTGAACAACTAAAAAAAATACACCGAATATTATAATTGATTTTTGATAAATTGCGAAAAAAAAAAAAAAATTAATAATTGATTTTGATACTATCTCAGTAATTTTATTTTTTCCCACGGTTTTTTTTTTTTTTTCGGTAACAATAAAGGGAGGCCGAAACATAACAGATGTAAAGACAAAACGCGATGGAGTAAGTTATTCCAATAATATCATGTTCAAGTCAGGAATAGTGGTGAGACAAGAAGATGGTGCACCCTAAGAATTCGGACAACGCTAAAGAAATTAGATAATCTGCAACGAAATTCGCTTGCTGAAACACAACTTAATTCCACTAACCATTCACATAACAACCTATCACGTGGGACTGCGCAAACCGCCACTGGTGGTTCTGTTTCGTCCTCCTAAACACTCTAAAACTTCCCCAACCAAAACCTGCTCCTCACCACGCAAGGGCCTCTCAAAAGTCAAGACGACGCCGTACTCGACAGCCGCGCCTCCTTCTCCGCTGCCGCCGATGTTCGCCTCCTGGCTCAACCGCCGCCGGAGGAGGTACCTGCTGCTGATCCTCTGCGGCCCCCTCCTCATACCGCTGATATTCGCCGCGTGCCCCTTCATCTGCGCCGCCGAGATTTGGTACCTCGCGCGCCGGAGGCGGCGTAGGCGGTCGGGCGCGTGCGGCGGGGGTCGGAGGGGAAGATCCGGCGGCGGCGCTTGCGAGGCGGGGCTGATGCAGAGGTACCTGGAGGATCAGATGATGCTGGTCGTCGGATCGGTTTGTGAGTGCGGGGAAGACGATCGGAGCGTGGAGGAAGGGGATGGGGTCGATGTGAAATATCTCGACAGTGCAAGGCCTGTTTTGCAATAACGTAAATTTGTGACTATTTTTGCACTACATTAGTACATTGTCCTTTATACCCTTCTTCTTCTTTTTTTTCTTATTTATTGTTTTTCCACTTCATTTGTGGTGTAGTGAAATAGTACTGTGTACATGTGAAATAGTGAAAGCAGATCAACAGCAGTGAGAGAAAATTATTGAATTTTTTTTTTTTCATTTACTTAATTTTGAAAAAAAAAAAATATATATAATTAAACATTATTTATGATAAAAGTTAATGGCATAATAATATGTATAGTTAAATGTGAAAGACCCATGATCCATCTATAACTTCAAAACTAAAAAAACAAAAATTGTGTGAATGACTTCACTCAGTTCTCCTTAAGATGCATCATGTCCATTTATGCTGCTATTGCAATTTGCAATAAAAAGTGTATCAATCAACATGATTTGTTTATTTGACTTTAATCTTCGAGAAAAAAAAAAAAAA